TTGGTCTCGTCACATCCTGTCGATCCTATCTATCCATCTATCTATCTATCTATCTATCTATCTATCTATCTATCTATCTATCTATCTATCTATCTATCTATCTATCTATCTATCTATCTATCTATCTATCTATCTATCTATCTATCTATCTATCTATCTATCTATCTCACAAGGACGACACAGAAGGCTTCGAACCTCTTGCCGTTTGGTGGCGGTTGTCTTGTCCTACAGATGCGCTTAGACAGCTGTGGCATGATGGCGGACCAGCCACACTTATATCAAGGCTGTCCAGCTCGACGACTTGCAGGTAGTATGGTCAAAGCACATTGTCGCCAATGTAGAGTCGATGGTGCAACCCGTCAGTTCGTGCTCGCGCAGACGTGGACACGTCAGCTCCGCGCTCCAGCCAGCGTCGGTCGGCCCCGTGTAGTTGTACAGCCGCAGCTTCCAAAGCGTCTCGGAGCCACGCAGCTTTTTCAAAATGGCGAGGGCTCTGTCAACATCCCCAACGGGATCGTAACGAGACGATCGAGCCGCGTGCTCCATCGTCCTCCATGAGATCATTCGAGGAAGAGGGATCCGAGACCTCGCGACGTCGCAATCGCTTCGGCCAGCGACGCTGTTGTCGTCGCGGTTGCAGTGCAGGCGCAGCTTGCGAGCGAACGGTGCTTGGAGCCACTGGACGAGACGCGTCACATGAAACGGCGTGTCTGTCACCGATGGCGCCGTAGAACTTGTGCACACTCTTGTGTGCGTGCATGACGGCGGCCATGCACATGTCATGGGCCATGCACATGTCGGCAACGACCATGTTTCGCAAGTTGACAACCATGGCTTTGCGCACATTGGGGCAGATACAGTCATGGATGTGTGCATCCGTGTCCTCGACGTGCGCCTCGTCGCCGTGAAGGCGCCAATGCAGAGCTGCGGGTCTGCCTTGGCTTGGTACTTGAGAATGCGGACGCTTGTGATGCGCTCGCACCTCGCCATGCCGAACGCAGACGATCTCGGAAATTGAGATCGTCGGCGGCAGAGCGACATACAGCCGGCGCTCCACCGGCAGTTGATCGATGTTGGCATGCACATAGACTGGGAGGGCTGCGACGCCAAGGTCGAAAGACGCCTTTGGGACCGCGTAGCAATGCAGGCTTGGCCAGTGCCCGATGCAGTCCATGGCCTCACTGAGCTCGTTGAGCGCCGTGAGAGCCGGTGGCAGCTCCGATGGCGGCCACGCATGCATGAGAGCAGCGACATCTTCGAGGCGCGGGAGCATGCGCGCGACGTCGGCGAGCGTGGCGTTGTCAATGCGCCTGGCCAACGACAGGTCCTCGCTCGCTGCCGCCATCCTTCTTGCAGACCAGATACAACACGATTTCATGTTTGAGACGCGGACGCGATACACTGTTTTGTATTCTGTTATCATGGAGACACTGGATCGAGTGGGTGCTGGATCCAGCCAATCGAAAGCGCTGACGCCATCCGTGGACTTGGAAGATGCGCAACTTGATCGTGCTCGACGAGCGCCGGGCCGCGCTGCCGCCGGGCAACTGGGTCGCACAGAGCGTCGACGCCGCCGAAGACCGCGTGTTTGCCATGACGAGCGATGGCTGCGTGGCCTGTCTCGTCGACAACGAGG